TAGTTTAGATAGATTTATTGACAAGAAGTAGTATAGCTAAAGATTTTTGAAAGCCTTATATATGACTTTTTTTTGAACAAATACTCACCTTTATGATTTGCCACTGCAGATTCTCAGTCATCTGAGTCATGGCAACCACAAAACAGGCTTTAATCAACAACAACCAGACTTTTGCTGAGTTCTTCTGAAATCATTTCAGCACCTTGGAGTATCTATTGATTCTGGCTCGTCTTTTTAAGATTTGTTTGGCATTAGTGGCCTTTATTTAATAGTATAGTGGCAGAAAATAGGTTTTAGGGGGAGATGGAGGGAAGATAAAGGGTCAGTCAGCCATAATTCTATTGTCGGATGGCCATGTTGAGGACTGAGGCCCCTATACTTCGGTCTGTGATTCTAGACTGCGTCACCAATGCTTCCAGCCATGTAAAATGAAACTAGTTTTGATATTCTTAGCATTGTGTTTGCTAGATTTGAACTAGTTGTTGGGTTTATTGGTTGATACTGAGAAGGAAGCAGTTGTAGTCAGTTCTTACAATCACAATAAATAGTTGAATCTTTTATCTGTCCTAATTTCTGTATTGACCTTGGTACCTTCCTCTGGCATGTTCTTGCTTATCCTCTGCCAGCAAGAACATTTAAAAACACAAATATATGTTCCTGAAACTTACTGTGGGAATGTTAGAAAGTGGAAAGGTCAGAGTTCAGTCAGTGGTGTACCTTTTCCGTTTTTTAATCTCATGGAGAATTTCTAGAATGAAAGGGGATCCGGCGTAGGAGAAATGGATTTGTTCCTCTTGAAAAGTCTGAACCTGATCAAGGTAAAGGGTTACTAAATGAATGTAGGTCGATTGACCGTATGTGTAGTGTGTGGACACACTTTTTACATTCTCTGTGTGTAGCGTGTGTGTGTATGAATGACCTGTTCTTTGTTCCTGAGCTCGGTGCTGTAAGGAGAGTGGACCGTTGACGAGGATTAATGCCCAACATATGGCAACCCTACGGGACACACGCACACACAGACACTGCAGTCATTACTCTGAACAAAGAACTGTAAGGCTAATGAGAAGCCGATATCATGTGTCCCTTGCAGACGCACAAGGCTTGGATTCACGTGGATACACACCTTAGAGTTGCTTACACATGGATGGATGCAGTTGAACACACCTGTACAGCTACTGTAACATGTATCTGTTGTATGTCGTCGGCAGCATGAAGGTAGCAGTGGACTGCTGACAGAGGGGCTGTAAGTTTGAACGCAAACACCTGTGAGTGTGTGTTAGTGTCCGCGACCCTCTGTGAACAGCCTGTTTATTGTAAAGCGATTGTGTGCGTGTTTGTGTGTGTGATGGAGGGAGAGGGAGGTGAAGTAGAGTTCATCATAAAAGTGAAGGTTCATGCCTTCATTTCTTCATGCTCATCTGGATCCTTCCTTTCTTTTTTTGACACATACAGATCACACCCAAAAACATTTGCAGTCGTTTTCTCTTCACAACTTTTAGCGCAGACACACACACACACACACACACACACACACTGCGACTCCCAGTGGGATCTGACCGATTTACTCAACATGTTCCTCAAAAGACTAACATCCTCTCTGCTCTGTACTGGTGCCTTACTATCTAGCCTCAACCTCCTGAGGTATTGCTGCTAAAGCAAGTCCGACATCCGTAGATCTACCATCTAATTTTATTACTGTGAAGTTTATTGATGTTACACTGCTAAAAAATGAATACCTTTTGAGGCGTCTTACAAAACAAACTCAACCTTTTATTCTACAGGAATATATAGTTAATTCAGTCAAATCATCAATGATTAATTACATTTTTCTTGTGAGTTAAGTATATTTCTTAAGCATCTTTCACAACAAAATATACAACAATGTCAAAGAGCTGTACAGAAAACCTATAAAAGCAAGTAAATACATGTTTCTGAGTTTGCAGCAATCCCTCATACTATGCAAGCATGTGGTGACAGTGGAGTAGATAGACTCTGTTTTAACAGGAACAATCTTTCAGCAGAAAATGACTCGTTGTGTGCGGCCATCTGCTGCAACTGATGGACCGGTGAAGTAAGGGTCCTAACTAGAAGGAAAATTTGAGTTTATTGTACCAGATGTTCTTTAGTGGCTTGATTTTGGAGAGAAACACCACTAAACTAATAAGTATCAATCAGCCTGTACAGGTTTTTTAAGGCAAGTGCAGATATCGGTTATTTTGACATAAAAAAATGTGATGTTGATATGTTTGGGCAGGTACTTGGATCCAGTATTACTTTTCCTTCCTCCATTTACATGACAAAAATGACACAATGGTAACAAATGTTACACAAGTTAATAAAAAAAAGAGTAACAAATTAAACCAAATATTAACAAATATTAACAGAGACTATCAGATGGTGGAAGCGGCAATGATGGGCTTTAATTGGTCTCGAGGCATCTCAACTTATCATTTTATATCACTGCTGTGGTATTGCAGTTTTACTTTCATTTATTTAGCAGTTGCAGCCAGGTTGTGCTAACTGAAATAATATATACTTCTATTTTATGCAATTACATGTCTATTTTGGCTCTTGAGGGCCAAATAAATTGGGGCGACAGTGGTGTCGGATGTAGGAATTTGCCCTAAAATAGAAGGGTTGATGGTTCCAGCCCCAGCTCCGGCTTTCAGTGCTGTTGTGTTCTTGTGCAAGACGCTTCACCTGCATTGTCTGCTGATGGTGGTCAGAGGGCCCGGTGGTGCCAGTGTACGGCAGCCTTGCTTCCGTCCGTGAGCCCCAGGGCAGCTGTGGCTACAATGTAGTTTGCCATCATGAGTGTGTGAGTGAATGGGTGAATGACTGAATGTAGTGTAAAGCACTTTGGCCAAGTCTCCTGATGTGAAAAAGCGCTATATAAGTACAGGCCATTTACCATTTAACTTGTCTCTGGGGACCGGATCCAGCCCATGGGCGTTAACTTTGACACATACAGTATGCCGTATTGAATAGGCTAATACCGACACAAGAAAAAAACACAATAAAATCAGCAAAAAATATTGGCCTGCCAAAATATATTGGTCTATCTCTACTGATAAGGTCTGAGTAGGAAGTAAATCCATGGGATTTACAGAAACAGGCAAAAAGGATCTATTTCAGAGTAGGGATGCACATTATCAGGATAACATTTCGTTTTGATATTTTTTCTAAGAATAGCAATCATCCCCAATTCAATTTTTTTTACATTCCACGTTGTCTCCATACGTCTCTGAGTTTTTCACCTCACTTGAAGTGAGAGGAGCACTCCATCCAACTGCTGAAATATGGAGTATCAAATGCATAATATGACTGTCTGCCACATATATAATATATAATTATAAGGTAAAAGTAAAGTGATTTTGATCATTTTGGATATGTAACCAGAGACAACCACTAGCAGAGGTAATGGTTCAAAAAGAGCTGGAAATCAGTTCAACAGAAGTCCTCTCAAGGTTTAAGTGCCATTATTATTTTATGCCCCAATCTAACTTGCAGCACGTCCATTACTTCCTCTCCTTATTTCTTTTCTCATGCAGTGACACTGTGGGTTTTTGCCATATACAGGTTTTATTTTTTTCTCTCTCTCTCTAGGTGTAAATGACTTTGGATGGCCATCTGTTACTTAGCCACCCTGCCGAGAGTTGGCCTGCATGCGCACCTCCAGTGTGTGTATGCGCGCACCTCCCTTTATGTTAAATTGTATGTGTGCAGTTACTGTAATACAGTGTTTGACTGTGGTTATTTATGCCTACGTGCACATGCATAATAGAGTGGGCTATTGTGTGTGTGTGAGAGAGGCTAGGATGTTGGATGAAAGATGGTGTTAATGTTTATTCAGCCTCATTTGTACATGTAGAACATGATTTGCTGAGTATGTGAGCACACTTACATATTTAATTCTTATGTACTCTTTTAAAGTTGGGATCTAAATATATTTAGCAAATAATTAAGGTATTTAACATTTTTTATGTCATAGTTTCCTGTTTTGCACCAGCTTTGCAGCCATTAAACTGTCTTCAATGGATGTTATCCATTTTGCAGATCAGCTCTTCAGTTTGTCATAAAACTTAATAGCAGATAACAGTATTAATATCATAAAATGAATGGTCAGATAGCTGAGCTGTTATTTATGTTGCATGCAATTTACAAATGAAATAAAAAAAAAATCTTAATTGAGTTCATTTTTCAAACTTTGTTAAATGGAGACTTTGCTATTTTAGCTTAGAAAATGAAAACCTCTCACATCATGTTTTTTTATTTCCTCCATGTTGAATAGTTGAGAATTTAGATGACAAACATTGTAGCCCATGGTCTCCCTCTAGTGCCATTAGCACCTTTAGGGAATGTGCTCTCTGTTAAACTTAGGACAGCAATTTTGTCAACTAACTCCCTAAATGTCTTCTGGTGGGCTTTTATGTGACAAATCATGCAAGCTTCAGCAAAAACTACCTAGAAGCTGCTGTTCACCAACAGTCTGTGATTTGATTATGTCCGTGTGGCCTGCGGTGTCTGCTGGAGAATCCAGCTGTTATCATTTACTGGTGACATTCAGATCAGAGCCTTTTGTCTCGGAGACAAGATGTCCACACATTTGGAAACAATCTGTAAAATAGAAGAAAAACTAGAAATTATCATTTTAAAGGAACTATTTAAGAAATTTGTGGCGTGATTAAAAGCAGTGAATCCAAATTTTATTTAATGTTTATCAAATAAGAAACATCCAAGTAACTTTCTGTGCTGGTTTCCTGAAAACACTTTGGTTTGGATGAGAACATCCATTACAATAATATAATGAAAGTTTGATCATTTAAACGGAGCGAATTTATAATTATAATTCATTCCTAATTCAAAAACCTACACTAACCTTCATCCTTTCAGCTGTGATTTCTTTAATGTGTTTAGATCAGTATCCAACCGAATCCTATCTGCAATTCTTTGCTCTTATTTGCTGTCATGGTAATTAATCCGTCTCTCTCTCCCTTCAGCTCTCGTCCCGGCCGTCCTCCCAAACGATGCTCTGGTGCAGGGATGCAGGAAAGCCCCCGGCTGTTGCACCCGGGGCTCCCCGGCTTGTTGTCCCCCAACCTGCTGTCCCACACTGGTGAGAGACGAGTCAATGTTCTCATTTCCTGCTCTCCATCTTTCTTAGCCCCTCTTAAAGCTAGTGAGCTTGTTGACATTTGATAAAGAGAGTCAATTTCAGTTGTCATTACCTGTTAGTTAAGCTCATATTTTACATTGATGATATAAGTCTTAAATTTTAAATCTAAACTACCATTTTTCCCTAAGCAAACTTCAGGGTTTAACAGTACAGCTTGAGTTAACATGCAAACATATTCCTTTGGTAACAAAGGTTGAAGCAGGGCTGGGAAATAAATTAGTTTTATGGATTGATCAAATCTGTTCTTTATAAGGATTTTATTTTTTATCAATGACCTCCTTTGGTTTCCTGTAGTTCAGAGTGAGATCAACCTGCATCTTTTTTATTTTTATATGACCTCTCATAACTAATGAATAAGCTCAGTGTTATAATACAGCGAGCTTCGAACATTTAGTGTGTTCTTTAGTGTATATTTTTATAGTATAAAGTGGCAGGGGCTGCCATCTTGTTTTACAAGCATGTTTTAACAGCTTGTATTTAGTTTTACTTTGGATTCATTTCCATTCTGGGAAAGGTTGATTAACAGAAAAGCATATTTTTAATTAAGATTTACATTTAAAAGAAAAATAGAAATTGCTTTTTATTAAGCTTAAGTCAGTGTAATTCTGTTTATAAAGTGCCAATTCACAACACATTTAAAGTTTTCTATCTAATGTAAACCAGTTGATTGCATCGAATCATTGACTCGAAGGCAATCCCTCACACCAAGCATGCTTGTAGCGACAGTTGAGAGGAAAAACTCCTTTTTAACAGGAAGAAAGGGAGAAAAAATAGCATTTAACTGTAAAAAGGATTTGGAGATTTTGTTTATAAGCCATGTTGCTCAGCCCTATGTTGAGGTTAATGTAAATCATTCCCCCATATCTCATTTTGATCATGTTTTTTGGCATCTTATACTGCGTGTGTGACCTTCTAATTGAAATGTGGTTATATAAAAGCAGTGAGCAGACATGATCTTTACCCATTAAGTATTACATCATGGATAACTGTTAAGAAGCATTGATATATGTTTTTTATGCTAATTTACACTCAAGTCTGATCAACAATAAGACAAACATAGTAAATTCTCATTGGTGATTTAAAAAAAGTTGCTTCCACAGCTAGTAAAGACGCTGTAGTACTTATATGTACCGCCTCAGAATCAACCCAACCTGCTAACAAAAAACATGGAGCAATGGGCAGACAGCTTATTCAAGGTAAAAACAGCAACATGGCGGTAAAGAGCCTCATGCGTGTTAAACATGTAACCGGGGTTATCAGATTTTTCCAAGCTGGGAACAGATTTGAAAAATGATTGTTAAAGCTCTTCTAAAACCTTTTGGATATGCAGCATAAACAACAAAATAAATTTGTAGTAACACACCTCAATCCAGCACAGGACTTTTTTACAACTCCGTGGCTAAGGATACATTTCAGCAAAAGAGCTTTGGGGAAGCTTCGGTTACAAAATATTGTGGCCACCAGTGCAGAGCTTGCTATACAATGGCAGCAAACCAGTGCACCTGCAGCTACAACCAATCTATAGTAAAGACTTGATTGAAAATGGCCTTGTCATATGAAGAACACACTTCATGTGAGTTGTTGTTTCTCATCTAAACAAACGAGAGTGTGTCTTCTTCTTTGACTGAAATCAGTAATAATTGAGCATGGAGATGTCCTCAGTTTCTTCCAGCTACCTTGGAGCAGTTTGGTGCTGATGTGAGTTATTTTTCAGCATAGTGTGTGTGTTTGTGGAGGGGAGAATAAGACATAATAAGATCAATCTATCCAACCAACCATCTGACTGTCCGTCCATTCATCCATCCGACCAACCGTCCGTTCATCCGTCTGTCCGTCCATCCATCCATCCGACAGACCGTCCCTCCATCCATGCTTATTCTATCATGGTCACGTTGGGGCGGTGCCTGTCTCTGGCAGTTCACAGGTTACAGACAGTGTACACTCTAGACAGGTCACCAGTTCGTTGCAGGGCAACACAGAGACACACTCATAGGACAATTTAGAGAAGCCAATTAACCTCATAGTCATGTTTTGGGGCTGATTACCTGGAGAGAACCCACAGATGCATGGGGAGAACATGCAAACTCCATCCCAGAATCAAACCCAGAACCTTCCTTCTGCAAAACAGCTGTACAAACTGCTCCAATGTGCAGCTTGGAGATATAAATATAATAAATTATTTTAAATGCAGAAAGTTGTAAATACTATGTTTCATTTATTTATTAGTTTATCAGTTATTTTCCCCTGAAGGTTTATTACTCAGCCCATATAAAGAAGGTAAAGGTGCAGAAGGCGGAAAAAGTCAGAAGCTGTTCTTTGTGAATCTAATAAGTTTGATTTACAGCTGCAAGTTATTCTAACTTTCAAAAACGTGTCTTTTTTTCACTCCGCTTATTTCCCACATAGTCTCACCTGCTGTCGTTTATTTCCCTGTTTTGTCTTCATTCATATTTTATTTCCCTTCTGTTTCTGTCACCTCTCTAGCTCATCTGTTCTTCATGGTTTTATCTCTTTTTTTTGTTTTTTTTTCCATCTTCATTCCTACTTTCAGTATTTGTTCATTTTTCTTGTGTTCGTTCCTTTAGTCACATGTTTCTCATCTCTATCGAGAAAGATCCCCTTTCTGTCGTTTGAGTCTCAGTGACACAGAAAGGGAAATAAGTGGGAGCCAAGATCGGGGAGAGACTGGTGGGGTGAATGGAGAGAAGGATGGAGGGATGTCGCCGGAGGAGATAATGAAACCTAAAAATGACTGCCAAAGTCCAGAGCCAAAGATGGAGGAAAGGAAAGAAGACAGCAGAACTGTGACAGTAACAGAGGGAATGAAGAAACAAACGGATGGATGGATGAGAGGAAGCAGGGGAAGAGAAGGAGGGTGAAGGAGTGCAGATTGCAGGCTGGTGTGATGAATGACACGTCTCTGGGGTCCCACTCCTCCATCTGTCCATCCCTCCCACCTCCTTTACTCTGCATGTCCCTCCTCTGCTCCCTTCCTCAGGTTTTTACTCACCTTTCTCTCTCCTGCCTGATGTTGGTTACCCCCTCTTGCCGTCTTTATTTGTCATCTTTTCATGCTTCGTTCATCTCGCTCTTCCTATATTTTAATTTTTGTTCCTCAGTTCCTGAGTTCTTTATCCCATCTAGATATTCTCCTTCTATTCTGTACTTTTCTGTTCTTCCTCTTAAACTTCACCTTCTTTGTGCTTTTATTCTCCTACTTTATCCTGGTTTATTGTCTAAACATTTTCTCATCCTCCTCCATCTTTTTGTTTTATGCTCCTTTTTAATGTTCTCCTTTTCTCTTATTTCATATTGTCTTAATCTTGTACTCAATCTTCTCCTTTTTATCCTCCTTTCATTCCTCCGTAGTCTGCTCATTTCTTCTGGCTCTGATTTTTTTTTTTTTCCTCCCTCGTCAGATTTCGTCCTGCTCCACCTTTTTTATTCCCTTTCTTCCTTCTCGCTGTTTATCCTCCCCGCCCTCTTTTCTTTTTGCGCTCTTTCCGCCTGTTTTTACAACCAGTCAACGTTTCTTTTTCTCTCCATTCTTTCAATAATCCAATCTTTCCTACAGTACACTTCACCTGCCTCTTTCCTGCCTCATTTGTCTTTACTATCAATGTTTCCTTGCTTCTTCTTTTTCCTTCCTTCATTTCCAAGTCTTGGAGTTCTTTTTTTCCTCCTCTTCAATCTCAGCTTTTATTATCTTATTTTTTTATTTGATAAATTCGATTGTAAAGATCATGAGAAGGGAATTCTGCTATTTTCTCCTAAAGACACACAAAAAAGACATAAATACATTGTATTAAGTATGCAAAAAACCTCCCAAACGTTTAAAATGTATTTGTTGATTTAGGATTCAGATTGATTTCTGTGTTTTAGGACTTTTTGGTTATGTATGAAAGGATGGTCACCCTGCTGCCTTTCAGTGTAGCCCCGCCCCCATTTCTCCAGCAGTAAAAGAACCCGCATCAGAATCTAGATCTGATGTTCACACTGAATCCAATCCTCACAGAAATAAATATCATAAACATGAACACGGAAAGTTTCATGATAAGCAGGAGCTGCTGCTTCTTCCACCTGCTGCCTTCATGTGTGAAATCAAGAACAGAGTAGTGTTGCTGCACGTTTGCTCCATAAATCTATGGCGTTGTAGTCCAGTGTGGAAATTTTTCAGCTCTTCAAACAGCAGCCATGTGTAGTTTTACAGGTGGGTAGAACCACAAACACTCAAAGTTTAGGAACAACCCAGAACAGAGAACAGGAGGTGATGTGGAGAGAGAAGGAGGAGGTTCTTCTGGAGAAAAAGGGACCATGTAGTCCTTTCACTGGAAAAACAATCTAGAAATAAGTCCAAACTTCTTAAATCAAGTGTATTTACCCTTAACTTTAGTAGTTAAATGAGATAGTTTACAAATGGAATGAGTATTTTTATTCTTAAAATGATATAATTAGATAATATGCAATTGAAATAAGACAATGCAATTGTGTTTTCTTCTTTCAAATGTTAATGGTCTCGTTCCTTTGGCAAAATGTCTCTTTTACCTCCTCAATCCAAGAAAAAATGTACTTATTTTAAGAAAAAATTACTTATCTAGAATTAGATTTTTTTTCCAATATTGGCAGAAACCAGGTATTATGAATAGGTCTGAAATTAACGATTATTTTTCTAATCCGTTAATCTGTCGATTATTTTTCTCTATTAATAATTGGATAGAAAAAGGTTTCTTAGAGAAAATTTGAAAGAGAATTCAAACTATGTGAAGATAAAATGAAGGCAGGAGTTGTGGATAAATCTTATTGACAGGAAAAAATGTTTTTATCAAGAGTGCAAAATGTTTCGATTTATACATTTTATTTATTTAGTGTAATAACCACTTAGTGTGAGTTACTCTTATATGGTATATTTTAGAGTCACTTTACTCGAATTAATAACCCAT